AACTGAGTTTTCCCCAGACACTGAGCAAGCCTTCAACATCCTGAGGACTGGAGTCCAACAAGTTGCAACTCACCAAAACGTCTTCCCCTCCAGCTGCACCGACTAATTACAAGAGAAAGGCTGAAAGGGAAGGTTCAAGCTTTCCATGACAGTGTGGTTTTTCTCTCTTACTCTCCTTTCTCCCCCTCCTCCATTCTTCCTTTCCCACTCTCACTCCTCTTCTTCCTCCCGCTCTGGTGCCTGGCAACATGCTCCTGCAGAGAGGTACGAGTTAGCTGTGTGCACTGAGCACAGACTCATCTGTCATAAGGGTCTTCCAGAGGCCACAGAATCGAACCCCTGGCTCCTAACACACACACACACAAATCTGCTCACCTGTCAGCATCCTCCAGAAAAGGGGTAGCAAAGGGGAGGCTGGATGGCTCCCCTCAAGACAGCCTTCCAAAGTAATGCTTACTTCTCTTTGCACAAGTGATGCCCACTCATGCAGAAGATACAAATGCTTAAGATTAGCCCCGACCCCAGCCACCGGCAATAACACATTATCGATACTTTGCTATGCACTAAATCCTTGACATTCCCAAGAATTATACCTCAAGATCTCCATGACTCTCCAAATTTAAGAAGATGGATATGTTAGGGGCAAACCCCAAGAGCCTTTGCAAAGAGATCCTTACTCTACATCTAAACCGTATCATTATAGGCTTTAGGAAGGGAATGTCCTAGTTTGAGACCGGGAGTGGATGTGGTACCACCCACTTTACAGATAAGGAAACTGAGTCCAAAGGGATGTATCCGTTTTTCTGTGGCCCTCAATTAAATGGGAGTCAAAGATGCAAAGAGAAGGCAACTTCTTGGCAGAGTCTGCAGAGTCTGGTGCCCGTGTTGGCCAGGAACTTGGGAGGCACAGGGAAGCCAGTAGGAATCTTGTCCTCCACCTGCACTAACAGGTTGAGTCTCCAGCTTGACCAAACCCGAGTTTTCCAGAATTTGCCACCCGGTGTGTTGTCTGGGTCTGGGAAATGAGACATTGGTGGGTCTGAATGACCACCCTGTGGCCCCAGGTGGCCCCATGCTGACACAGGGTGTGTGCTCCCAGGTAGCAGAACTGGGACCAGCGTATCCCCAGAGAAGGCCACCAAGGAGAGGGACAGATAGATGCTCGCATTGGATGTCACAGGAACACTCGGTTCCAGAGAGCGTGTCCTACCCAGGCATTCAGGGAGAGCTTGCCAGGACAGGAAACCTGGGACCAGCCCGCCTCCTCACCCCTGTCCCGCACTTAACACTACTTAACCCTGGCCAAGTCCTCTGACAACCGGCATCAAACAGGGGCAAATCCGCCTTGAACAAAAAGATCCAGATACCCCAGACTGGCGGTTGAGCTTACCCCTCTATTCCAGGGCAACCAAAAAGCTCTGGGCAATGCTTTGGAGTTAGTTGCAACCTGTAATGTTGCCTGCCCCTCCCCTTCCTCCTCCAGGATTGAGCCTGGAGCTAAAAGCCCTCACTCGCCACTCCCTTTGCACAGCCCAGAGCCAGCCGCGGAGAGTCTTCCATTCCTAGACCTGCTACGGATTGACTCATCCCCTGCCAGCCTTCCCTGAGTCCTAGCCCAGAGTCTGTTCTCGCCGCACCCACAAAGCCCTCGCTGGATGCCCCTCTTTCTTGCGCCGGAATCTCTAAGAAGAGTCCATTTATTTTTTCCCCCAGCCGTGCCCAAGCTCCTACAGCTTCTGTCTTCATATTTCATCTCTCTGGTGGCTCATCACAGAGAAGAAAGAGGGGTTTAATGAGAACAATTCTAGATAATGATAAAAAGAGGAAGGAAAGATCCACACGCTAAGAATCCCAGCTTAGCTCATTCTTCCAAATGACCTCGTGGAGAAGTTTAATGGAGGAGACCCATTGCCCAAGTTTCACGAGGGCCTTTGGAACACTCCAAGGATCTCTAAGTTCTTGGGAAGTGTTTGGAAATAGAAAATTAATAATTTTGGAACCATTCAAGAGCCAAAAAAATAAAAATAAAAAACACTCATATGACTTCTGATCCAGATACTATTTCCTCCCAAGATACAGACACACCCTTCTTATGTGCTTTGGTACCCATGCCTCCTACGTGTAAACATCCACACACACCACCTCCACACAAACCCGGAGATGCCGGGGATTTGATCTGCCCCAGGTAGAGCAGGTAGAGTTGTCAGATAAAAATAAAAACGTAGGCTACTTGGTTAAATTTGAATTTCGGAGAAACAACAAATTTCAGTGTAAGTATGTCTCAAATATTGCATGGGACATTCTTATGCTAAACTCTATTCATTGTTTATCTGCAACTTTAATTTAATTTTTTTTTTCAACGTTTATTTATTTTTGGGACAGAGAGAGACAGAGCATGAACGGGGGAGGGGCAGAGAGAGAGGGAGGCACAGAATCGGAAACAGGCTCCAGGCTCTGAGCCATCAGCCCAGAGCCCGACGTGGGGCTCGAACTCACGGACCGCGAGATCGTGACCTGGTTGAAGTCGGACACTCAACCGACTGCGCCACCCAGGCGCCCCTCTGCAACTTTAATTTAACTGACCATCTTATGCTTTATCTGACATCCTTAACCCTAAGTAAGGCATCTACCCTAGGCCCCCCACAGAAACACTACTACCCAGCCCCACATAGACCCTCTACCATAAACGTGAACCTTGATCCGTTATGAATTCTATTTTCGTATAACCGTCTGAAAATTACTAGGGCTGAGGATCTAGGGCAGAGCAAGTTGTTTTAAGGCCCCTCACCATCTGCCTTAATCCTGCTCCCACTCAGGAATATGCCCATGATTAAATGTTAAGAGTGTAGGGATGCTCAAACTCACCAAATGTCAAAGACCTTTGGTATCCCAAAAGGCTATTTTCTCTCTCATTCTAAATTTTCCCTCCACAACAGCACTGGTTTGGATTAAGAAACGGCTGAAAGTATTGGTCCGGGTGAAGAGTTTAATTCTCAGGTGCTAGAGAAAATCAAAGAAGTGGCTTAGCTGGTCTCTAAGGTAACATCACAGAGATGCCCAGGACAGCAGTCGTGCTGTCTTAGCAGATCTATTGTTAAAGGACTAGATGTATATTGAGCCTATCATGAAGGCTACAACTCTGTACTCCATAAACACTGACCATGACAATGAAGACAGGGTCTTAGGGCATCCCTAAGTTCTTCCCCTGCTCATCTCCCGGATAGCTATGCACCCTCCAATTTGATGAGCTCTCTCTCTCTCTCTCCTAGAGTAGAGCAAAGATCTCCCAAATTTCTGATAGAGCTCCTTGAAACATCTCTGTTGGGGGCCTTTCCCTTGTTAGGCATGTGTGGACAAGATTCCTTCACGCTTTTGACTCACCCTGAAACGAGGTCTGCCCAAGGCTCAGGTCTCTAGCTGGCAGCTTGGCAGTGAGCCTGTGATGGTTGGGAAAAGAAGCATTCTATTCGGCTTTCCAATGCTGGCTTGCCTCAGAGATCGACACTGCCAACCGGCCCTCCTGCGGCTTCTATTTCCAGGCTGGTAGAATGGGTTCACGTAACTAACCAGATATTGTCAGAAGGACCAAAGAGATGATGTCTGTGAACATTTGGTGAATTCTCAGAAGGACATGGTCAGGTTCTGAAACATAAGGCATCCTTCAAGGATAAGATATGGCTTAAAGCTTCCAAAGAGATTTTTCTATCTCCAGGACATCTCCCGTGAGAAACTCAGAGTTTTTAGGTGCAGAAAAAACATCTCTGGTCTCCTAGAACCCGTATCATTTTTTGGAAAAAAAAAAAAAGAGCTATAGGGCTCCCAGAGGGAATACAAAGCATAATGGAAGAGGGGTTCAACCTTCAGCGAGAGGACCAGCGTCGGAGCTTCCTAAGAGTGGGAGATTTCTGCTCCTGAAAGCTGACAAAACAATGAGCTCTTACCACACAGCATCTTGCAGAGTCAACGTACCATAAACATACACAATCCCAACACTCTTCGAGGTGGCAGAAGAAGACGTCAGGGACCGCCCGGCGCCACTCCAAATCCAAAAATCCACGAAGACGTTGTAGTGAAAGTCCTTTTGATCGCAAAGAACAGAAACCCTCTCGGACGAGTTCAAGGAGTGACAGGGGCTGTTGAGAGGGAATACTGGAATCATGTCACGGAGTGTCATGGAATTGGGAAAACATCAGAGGATCCAAGAAAACCAGGGTGACTCTCACTTGTCTCCAGCTTATCAGCCGCATCCTCCTCACTTGCCACTGAGTGCCTGTTCACCTTGTTGCCCAATATCCCAGCCTCCGCTAAGACTTTTCAGCTCCCGTGACCACGACCAATTCTTCCATCTGTACCTTTCGCTCACATGTCTGAACGAGGGTCTAGTGGGCCCAGCTCACTGAGGAATGAGTCTTGACGGGGTCAGGTGTCCTTCCCTGAGCCAATCACTGTGATGGGACAGGGAGGGTTCAAGGCACTGAGACTTGCTCCCCGTGAGCAGAGGCAGAACAACCATCACGATGCCTGGTAAGAAGGGAACGATGACTACACCGACGGGGGGAGTTAAGGCCAAGTGGAAATACTCTACTTGTCCACAGTGAATTGAGACTTCAGGCCAAAAGGCCATCCATTTAGTGGGCAGTATGCTAAGAAGTTTACATACGTTGTCCTGTTTTGTACTCCCGTCAACCCTGCACAGGGGCATAATTATTCCCATTTCATAAGAAGGAAAACTGAAGCTCAGCAAGGTCACACACCAAGGTCCCTGAGCTAATGGGTGGAGGCGCTATGGTCCAACCCAGGCCTGTATGACTCCTGACTAGTGCGTCTGCAGACACAGTCCTCCATGGAACAAGGTTCTGCCTCTGTACATGGACTCAAACGAAATGCAGACAATGAAAGGGATTTTTCACCCCAAATCACCCTGAGTGAGGAAGAACAGGAAGGGACAGGGAGACCAAGAAAAAAAAAATGATGTGTTTTTCCTGAGTAAACAAGGACAAAATGGTAGAAAGGTGGAAGAAGGCTGGCCTATATAAGGATCTCGGGTGTGAAACAAAGGGTAGCAGAGAAAAATGAAAGCCAAGGCCATAGAAGAGTACTTACTTGAAAGGAGTGATTTTTTGCTGCTGATCTTTGTTCCTGTACCAGAAGTGCCTATTAAAAAAAAAAAAAAAATGCCGTTGCTTCAGCAACAGACGGAACCAGAGGCCCCGCAAGGCCTTTGCCAGGTCAAGAGCTTTTTCTATTCCCCCGGCCCCCATCATTTCCATTGTCAAGACGAGGGGCAGAGGCTTGCTGAGGCACACCGCTCAGAAGGTGTGGCAGAAACCCAGACCTCATCTGAACCGAAGAAGAAGTTAAAGAAGCCTTGAGGGGCAGGGGCACCTACTATGGGCTCTGCCCAGTCATACCTGAAGACAGTGACTGAAGCTGAGACCAAAAGCAAGTCCTGAAGCGGATCCCCACAGGAAGTAAGAGGAAGGGGGACAGAGAAATGATCAAAGCTAACACACACACCCCTAAGATCCAGAAACGGACACATACACACTCGCACAGAAACAGGGAAACAGAGACCGCAGAGAGCAGGCTGCCTTGTTTATTCTCCTGAAAGGCATCTGGATTTCTCAGTGAGATCCTGATTTGGGTCTTTTCCTCATTTTCCATCTGGACTGAATGGTGAAACGGCCTGGCACGAGAGATGCCGTGAGTCAGCTACAGATTCAGGCTTGGTCCCTCTGCCCCTCCGCTCTGCTCTTTGCCAGACCACACAACCTCCCTCCCTCCTGCCAAGCGTGGCTTAGCTCACCATCCAGGTAGCGCACTTCAAAGACTTGGGGGTGAGGTAGGCTGGGCTGGGCCAGCCTCGGGAGGGGAGCAGAGTCCACTCCCAGCCCAAACACTCTTCGTCAGTTCTCTTGAACGCCTTCCGCTCCTCTCACACCCCTGACACTTGGAATAACCCCTGGAAGTTAGAGCTGGAAAACCCGACTTTTCACTGGAGCGGTCTGTCTCTTCCACACTGCAGGTCTGTGCAGCTTTATGACTGTGGGGTTGACCAGATGTCAGCCAAAGCCCAAGCACCGCCTGGCACCAACAGTCTGTGTGTTCCTCCCTGAAGTATACTCCCCAGGGCGATCCAAAGACCAGGGGTGCTTGAGTGACCAGAAACCACAGGACATCTTGCAAGGTGTGTGGATCATCAGGGTGTGGTCTGCCTCCTACATTTTCTAAGCTATGACCTTTAGGCCACTTTGTATCAAGAGTAGGGGTGCGATCTCCCACAGAAAACTGTAAAGACCTCTGCGATCAGGAAACACACTCATCTCATCTTCGTGTCCCCGGCAACACAAAGTGAAGGGCAGTGCCTCGTGCTCTCACTAATTGTCTGCTGACCGGTAGCCTCCTCTGACTTTTTTTTGAAACACAGCAGAACCGGAGCAACATGAAAACAACATGACGTTTCTTCCTTTCTCAAATCTGTTCTCTCCTGACGCTTGGGTCTATGCATGAGCCTGAGCGCTGGTCCAAGGACTCAGTGTCCTATTGTTTCACTAGTGGAAAACCTGAGGACAAAAATGTCTTTGACATAAAAAAGTAAAACAAAATAAAAGCTTTTAACACTCGGTGATCTGTCAGGCATGGTGGCGGTGGGCAGAAGACGACCCCCCATGACCCGTGTGCTCTCGTATAAAGTCCTCCCCCTGAGTGTTAGTGGGACATGTAATTTGCTTTCAACCACTAGAATATGGCAAAGGTGACGGGGCATCACTTCTGTGATTGTGGTACCTCATACGGCAAAGGTGAAGGGACTTTGCCCATGTAATTAATTTGCAGTTGACTGAGTCAATTCCAAGGGAGATTTTCCTGGGTGAGCCTGAACTAATCCGGGGAGCTTTAAAAAAAAAAAAGAGGGTCTAGATGTTCCCTGAAGTTAGAAATTTAAACCTGCAGAGGTGCTCCCTGCCCACGCATACCCTGTCTCTCTGTCCCTGTCCCTACTGTCTCTCTCTCTCTCTCTCTCTCTTTTTCTCTCGGCTAGAATGACACTTTCTGATGTGGGTAGAGGGGCTTGGTTTCTGGATAGGCAGACAGCCACCCCTCTCTCCATTCCCCCGCCCCAGTCCATCCTAGCTCATTTCCCTCGACACATCCCAGTCTCTTCCTGCCGTGACGTGATGACCAGCTCTTGACGTCTTGCAGCAAGATCTAGTCAAATCAAACAGGTGGCCTCCACCTGCCCTTCCTCCCCAGCACCTCCTCTCCGCCTTCCTGCAAAATGGAGCATGATTGCCCAGAAAACGTGAGTTCTCCTCCCAAGCCCAGACCGTGGTGTTCTATTCCGCACAGAGCCTTCCCTCTGGGAGTCCGTACTTTCACTGCCACGTTTTTGTGGATGATTCCCCAGATCTCTACCACCAGCCCTGCCGTGCTGTCTGTGCTGAGGCTGGCTTCCGCCAGACGTTGCCCACGTCCACCTCCTACTCTCCACTTTTCCTCAGTGCTTCCTCTGCCCGGATCATCTGCCTCCCACCCCATCCTCTCAGATGTCCAGCCTCTAGAACCTCAAACTCACGTACCCTCCACACACCTGCCTTCCTCAAATATTCCTTTACTGGCCACCGAATTCTGCCTCCGTAATGTAGAAGAAAATCATCTGTCGTCCTACTTATTATTCGGGAATGTTCAGGTGAATGTTCAGGGTGTGAGAACAAAGAAGCTCCATAAATTTAACAGCGTACCTGAGGCAGAACACTTACACTTTCATTCTGTGTTAACATTCAGTCTGTAGAAACAGCAGAAGCGGGTAGAGCCGTGTACGTGGGGCCGGACGGCCGTGGAATAATGATTGTCCAGGCTGAGGGATGGGTTCGTGGGGATGATTACACTCCTCTATTTGCTTCTGCGTATTTTTGAGATGCTCCACCATAAAAACGTTTTTAAGTCGAGTTCAATACCCAGTTAAATCCCTAATTAAAAAAGAAGTGGGCAAGGATGAGCCCACACTGTTTTCATTGGTCCCAAGTGGTAACAGTAGCCTGAAAGTATATCACTGCTTTGCTATTGCCTCTCCTGAACCCCAGCCCCCACCCGGCTGGATCCTTCCTGTTTCTTGCCAGGGGCTGTGTGCATGTGCAACATCTGTTCTACAGCGGTGAGAAGCTGGCTGGGCAGATGGATAGATGCATTTGTACCGTGATGATGCCAGCACACTATTAGGGTGTTTTCACTGTTTTCTCTCACCGGAAGGTGGGGGGGGGGGGTTGAGTCCGGGCACCAGTACAGAGCTACTTAGCTTACAACAGTCCGTCTCTGGGTCTCTCGAATACACAGCATGGTCTGTCGGCGTTTCACACTCAACTTCCTGTCCAAGTCCAAGATTCACACAACTCCTGACCTGTTTTCAGACCAGGAGCCATCAGACACAGGTGGCCACATCTTTTGGGCCCGCACTGGTGGTGTGCGGACAGAGAATCATTGCACCAGATGCGGGGGGCATCCGTCACACCTTTCTGAGGATCAGATAAAGTCCCTGTACCTTTCCAGGCCTGTGGCTCTTCATTTTGACTTTGACTTTCAACCTGTAGAGCCAATATTGACCTCACTGGTTTCTTCCCAGACTCTCAGAGTAGAGTTGGGCCACATGCATTCCAAATACCCAACTCTGGCCAAAATCAAGCACCCAGGAAGTGCCCAGAATGGCCTCTAAGTGTCCCCAACACAGGCACTTCACTCCCCCCACCTCCAGCAACACTTCTGTTGCCCTCTGCCATCTGGCTGGGTTTCTCACTGGCTGCAGGAAGCAAGTGATTATGGAGGATTTAATAATTATCAACAAAGGAAATTAAAATGTGTTTGGTTTCATGTCTTTTGCCTTTAATGCTTTCGCAATCTAGAAAAGGTAACTAAGGTGGAAGGCTGGCCATTGAGAAATAAAAAATAAGTAAATAGAAAGGAGGAGAGAAACAGACCTCATTCATTAATCTGTAGACATTCCGTGGGGCTTCCAGGGGGCCCACTGCTGCCTAGACCCTAGACAGCACAGGACTGAACCCCACAGTCAAATCACCTGCTCTCAGGGCACTTTCTTTCTAGGCATAATGAAGGCCTGGAAAGACGATGAGAAAAAGATGCAAACCTGGCTACAAAAATACCCCCATGAAAATGTGTTTGAAGAAGGTATTGTGAATTATAACTACCACTTGAGTGTCTACTATGTGTTATGAATTGAATTCTGCCCCTGCCCAAATTCCTGTGTTGAACTCCTAACTTCACGTCCCTCACAAGGTGAACATATTTGGAAACAGGGCCACCGAGGGGGCACCTGGGTGGCTCAGTTGGTTGGGCGTCTGACTTCGATTCAGGTCATGATCTCACAGTTCATGGGTTCAAGTCCCGTGGGAGCCTGCTTTGGGTTCTGTGTGTGTTTCTCTCGCTGTCTGCTCCTCCCCCACTCATACTTTCTCTGTCCCAAAAATAAATAAAAACATTTAAAAAGTTTTTTACAAAATAATAACAAAATTAAATAAATAAAAAGGAAATAGGGCCATTACAAGCGTAACCAGTTAAGATGAGGTCATATTGGAGTAAAGTGGCCCCTAATCCAATATGACTGGGGTCCTTTTGAACAGGGACATCAGGACACAGACACACACAAGGGGTACGTCATTCACAGACCACAGCTAGGCTATTCCCAAGGAACTACCAGAAACTGGGAGAGAAGCCTGGAACACATCCTTCCCTGGCACCTTCCAAGGGAGCCCTGCCCTGCCGACGACACCTTGGTCTTGAACTCATAGCCTCCCGAAGCATGAGACAATGAACTTCTGTTGTCACAGCAGCCCTAGCAAATTAATACACTGTGTAACAGGTGCTGTGCTATGTGATTTAGAGATGATCTCATTTAACCCTTGTGCCAACCCATTGGTAGGTACCATAGCCCATTTTACAGCAGAATAAACTGAGCCAGGGGAAGGTTAAGTAACTTCCTCAAGGTTGGGCTGCTTTAATCTGAAGGGACCAAAACTCAGGGCTCAGGAGCAGCTGGGTGGCTCGGTTGTTTAAGCGTCCGACTCTTGGTTTCAGCTCAGGTCATGATCTCACAGTTCCTGGGATCTGCCAGTGCGTGAAATCTGACAGTGCTGGGCCTGCTTGGGATTCTCTCTCTCCCTCTCTCTCTCTCTCTCTCTCTCTCTGCCCCTCACCAGCTCGTTCTCTCTCACTCCTTGGTTCAGACTGCATGAGAGATGGAAGTGTTGAATCACTATATTGTACACCTGAAACTAATATAACACTGTATGCTAACTATACTGGAATTAAAATAAAATGTGAGGGGCGCCTGGGTGGCTCAGTCGGTTAAGCGTCCGACTTTGGCTCAGGTCATGATCTGTGGTCCAGGAGTTCGAGCCCCACGTTGGGCTCTGTGCTGACAGCTCAGAGCCTGGAGCCTGTTTCTGTGTCTCCCTCTCTCTGACCCTCTCCCGTTCATGCTCTGTCTCTCTCTGTCTCAAAAATAAATAAACGTTAAAAAAAACAAATAAAATAAAATAAAATTTGAAAAATAAAGTTATCATCAAAACAAAATGAACATGGGGGCACGTGGATGGCTCAGTCGGCTAAGTGGCTGATTTTGGCTCAGGTCATCATCTCACGGTTCATGAATTCAAGTGCCACATCAGGTTCTCTGCTGTCGGCACAGAGCCCACTTCGGATCCTCCGTCCCCTTTTCTCTCTGTCCCTCTCCTGCCTGATGTCTCTCTTTCAAAATAAATAAATAAACTTAAAAGAAAAAAAAAAAAAAAGCATGGGGCCCAGGGAAACCAAACCCACCCTCCACACCCAGTGTCGCCTCACTGGGTAAACCCCCCATCTTTCTCCCCTCGGCCTTTCAATCCTTACTCCAGACAGATGTTGTCTCTTTGGCTGGCTTATGGTTAAGATGCTTCCCTGTCCTGCTCAGTGGTCGAGTTGGTGCCTTCACCTGTTCTAAGTCTATACAAGTGGAAGGGCCTAGTGAGACGGGATATTCGTGCTGCGTGTGATACCTCAACTCAAGCACCCTCGTTCACCAGCAGATCGGTAGCCATCTCTCTGGGAATCGCGCCATCTGTGCGGGCAGCCTGTGACACATGCCTCCCAGCCATCAGAATACAGACCGTTCACGTTCTTTATATGTGTTTAATACACGTCTTTGTCTAAGGCTTGTCACTCCGTGGCGTGCGGATTCCTTCTGTCACACAGCCTCCCATGCAGCTCTGGAAGACACGTCCCATTTTCAAAGGCATGACAGGCAAGTAGCACTACTGTCTTCATCACGGGCCACTAGGCTAACAGGTGGATGCGAGCCTGACCCTGAGACAGTGCACCAGCGCCGACTGGGGCGACGTGATGCTGTCTCATAAAAGTGAAGATGTCATGGGACCATTTTGTTTTGCAGGTGATTTAAGGGAGTTTTCACGGGTGATTTTGACTCTACTCAATTTGTGTATTTCAAGCTGATTTCAGTCACTACATAAGCCATGACTCCATTGTAGTTTTTAAAAAAACAGTGAGGATGGGGCGCCCGGGAGGCTCAGTCAGTTAAGTGTCGGACTCAATTTTGGCTAAGGTCATGAACTCATGGTTCATGAGATCAAACCCCTGCATCAGGTTCTGTGCTGACAGAGTAGAGCCTGCTTGCAATTCCCTCTCTCTCTCTCTCTCTCTCTCTCTCTCAATCTGCCCCTCCTCTGCTCATGCTTGCTCTCTCTCTCTCTCAAAATAAATAAATAAGTTTAAGTAAATATATAAATAAATAATAAAAGCACAGTGAGAGAGGGACACCTGGGTGGCTCAGTTGGCTCACTCAGTTGAGCCTCTGACTTCAGCTCAGGTCATGATCTCATGGTTCATGAATTCAAGCTCTGCATCGGGCTCTCTGCGTCCATGTGGAGCCGGCTTCAGATCCTCTGTCCTGCTCTGTCTCTGCCCCTCCCCAACTTGTGCTCGCTCTAGTGCTCTCTCTCTCTCTCAAAACTAAACATAAAAAAAAAAAAAAATAGCGAGAGGATTCTGTCAGCAAAGAAGACATCATACAAGCCAAAACATCTTGTACCATAACAATTAAAGCATAATCAGGACAGGAGTGATTTATTTCCAGCAGAACATCAAGTAAACATCAACCAACACACTAAGTTAATGTTGTCATTTTGTGTTTTGTTGGGTTTGTAGTTTTGATCGAGTTTATTGACACATTTGTTAGATTTTACAATGAGATAAGCTTATGGAACTTAGGCCTTATTGTGTTTGTACATATTTAAGTTATACTACAAGTAACATATTTAAGTCCAACAGAAGGAGTATATTGGAATTTATTGATATTTTAAAAGATTTTAAGTAAAACAAGACTATTTCAATTATTCACATTTGAGACACAAAGGGTTGAGCAGACTAGTAGATAAAGGGACAAAATAGAAACACATCAACAGTGACATGACCAATAGTCAGAATGATGCAGCAATAAAACAAGGTGATTAACAAAATGCTGGAATAATTAGGGAATGGTAAATAGTTTTCATTCAAAAGTAATTTATTAAGGACCTTCTGTGCCAGGAACTGTCCTGGGGACTCCTGGCCAAGAAGGAGGGAAAGAAGGAAAAGTGGAAATAATATATGAAAATGAGTATGGCCTTGGGTCCTTCAAAACATTCTGTCCAAAGGGAAAGATTCGGTCTAGTAGGTAATAATGATCAAGCACTAATGAGGCTCACATCGACTGCCTCATTTAAGGCTCACAAAAACCATATGGGGTAGACAGTAAACTCCCTCCATTTTACTGATGAGGACAGAGGACCACATAGGATAAACACAGCTACATAGCTAGGTGTCTTTAGGAAATTACACATGTGAGTCAGGGAAACCTTTCAAAGTAGATGTGATTTCATTTGGGTCTTTAATAATGACTAATTCACTAGTCAGAACAAAGGGGAAAGGCATTCTTGTCAGAATGAATAGTTTGTGCAAAGATATGGGAGCATGGAAAGGCATAGCTTCTCTAAGGAATGGCACAAAGTGCAGACTGGCCCAGCTGAGAACATGGCCAGAGTCAGCTGCTGTGAAGGGGTTCAGGCCCATTCCTCAACTCTGGTAATGGATCAAACCATGTCACTGGACCAATCCTTTCCACGCTAGTAGAAAAATAGTGTTTCCTGATGGCTCAACTTTTCCAACCAGGGCTACCACATACCATTGCATAGGTTGTGCACTGCACAATAAAGAGCCCCATCTAAGTGGCACTATTCACATATCAGACATCATAGATATGTACATTCATCATGACAATTTCCTGGAAGTGGGAGTAAAGTTTCTCATTCTAACAAAGTCTGTATTTCACAACAATTTTCTGACAAATAGGTGTATCCTGAGGAAGAGTATCTTTTTCTAAATCACATAAATTTGCCCTATAGGCTGGTGGTGGTAAGCTAGCTCTTATGGTTTCTTTCCCTTTAATTGCAAAGGAACCTAGATTCCAACCATGCCCTGAAGTTTTATTTGGCCTTTTCATGGCTCAAATGCATCTGCTTCAGAAAGTTAACACACTCTCTGTCCTCCTGTCCCATGTGATTTCATCTTCCCTAACTCACCCACCCCTCTTCTTCCTAGATCTGAAGCTACCAACACTGTTTTGTTTTTTGTTTTTTTAATCACACCAGATCACTCTTTACGGTTAATCTCATTTTTCCAAAATTGAAACGCAGCTCTAGGGCTGTCCATTGTACAAACATGTCAGACCCCGTGATCCAAGAAGGCCTCCAACCAGAAACTGGATTTATGGAGCCATCCCTATCCTGTCATATCTCTCTGGAATGGTTCCAGAAGCCTTCTAAACATCAATTCTTAAAACTATGAACTTCAATCTTGCTCACATAGTCACTCTGAGTCACAGTTGGCTCCAGCTCCTTCAAAAGGAGCCTGGGGTTAACGTGGACTGTAGTTAACTCGTCACCATAGCAGGCACCACTGCAGAATTAACTCCGAGGAGCTCGTGGCCTCACCCTCAAAATTGTCCTAATCCTGTTCTGTAAGAAACTTCTAGTAAAACCTAGAAAAACACTGTGCAAAAAGGATTCAAAGCTAGTTCAGATGAGTGCCTAGCTCTGCAGAGAAAAGAGGCAGGGGCGGGAGCAGGCAGTGAGCTGTTCTCTGCAACACTGTCTTTTTAACAAAGTCTCAAACCAGGATGGCAACACTGTAACGTGTTCAGCCCGGTTAGTTAGTACAGGGTATGTTCTACTATCTTCTGCTCTTTGAATGGCTGAAATATACCGTAATTAACACTTAAAAAAAAATTCGAGGACTTTTTTTATGCACTTTGGCTGAAGGTCATATTCTAATTATTCATCAGAGAAGCTTTAGGGCATTCTTTGATGAACCCAAAGTAATCAAGTTCTGACCTGGCCGAACCTGTCTCCAAGGTACAGTGATCACCAACGTAGCTGCTGGTGGGACTTGGAAGGTGTCCCACCTCCCCTGTATCGGTGCTGTCATGGCAAAGGGGCAGTGCCCAGGCTCCGGGGACATACAGATGACCCACGGGGTGTGGCTGGGGCCCTCCACCGGTGCCTTTGCTACCCCCACCCCCATCCCCGTGGCTAAAGACCTCCACCAGTGTCTGCTTCTTTCCCTTCCAGAAAGGAGGCGGGTGTGAAATGATGTATCCACTCTGCCACCTAGCCTCCAGCCCCATCACTACAACACAGCTGCCTTGAGCCATTCTGCACAGACCTCAATGTCGCTGAACTTCCCTCATCTGGGGAGGGACCTGAGCGACTGGGTACTTCATTTCCTAAAGGTCACCATACCTTAGTTTCAGGCTGAGATGAAGTGGCAGGACTAATATGCCTGCCGTGTGCTGGCCTCCGGAAAAGGGACTTGTGTCAATCTCATAGGATCTTTAAAATAGAGTAATTACTCACAGTAGGGAGTGGTTTAGGCAAGTCTGTCTAAGACAGTGAGGAGAGTAACGCAAAGGAAAGAATGAAGACAAGACCCTCCAGCTGACAGTTTTCCTTTCCAGCCGGGAGGAACCAACGATACTTTTGTTTTGTTTTGTTTTCATATGAAATTTATTGTCAAATTGGTTTCCATACCACACCCAGGGCTCATCCCAACAGGTGCCCTCCTCAATGCCCATCACCCACCCCCCCCCATCAACCCTCAGTTTATTCTCAGTTTTTAAGAGTCTCTTATGGTTTGGCTCCCTCCCTCTCTAACTTTTTTTTTCCTTCCCCTCCCCCATGGTCTTCTTCTTCTTCTCCTTCTTTTTTTTTTTTTAATATGAAATTTATTGTCAAATTGGTTTCCAGGAACCAATGATACTTTATGTCTTATTAAAAGTCCAGCTTTCCCAACCTTGTTAGCAGCTTCCACCCTGGCCTTGAAAACCACTTAGAAACTCACAGAAAATGATCAGAGGAAAAGATTCAAGCTTCATAAAACACAAATGTTAGGTGCCCTTTGAAAAGTTGTCCATATAAACACATAAATCTATGTTGTACTTCTTGGAGCCAGGTTTTGATAAGCAGTGAGTCTTTTAAAGGAATAGGGAGGAGTGAGCTCCAGGGGGATAAGACACAAGTGGATGATATTTAACTTCTTACTTCTCCAAGAAAAATGTGGTTGAAAGACATCAAAACTTGGACATGCCAGGGTGGGAAGCAGAGTTGGGAAGCTAATGGCAAGGAAAACAAGTCAGCAAGAAAGGAGGGAAGGGAACCTGGCCTCTGACATTTGCATCTGGCAGGAATAAATGAGCCCCTCCCAACTAAAGTCATTGATGCAAACTTTTTTTTTTTTTGCTCCAAAAGCAATCTTCTAAAGGTGACTGTGAATAGATGTAGGTCTTCAGAGTGGAGGGGAAGGGGTAACAGAATCAAGAAAAGCTCATCGGCATGGCCCACAATCCAACATCGTGCACCAGCCCTTCCCTTCTGCTGTCATATGTAAGTATGGAAGCAGACCCATCTGGCCAGTCCCGCCTTTGGACCTAACCACTACAGACAGCCCCAGGCTCCTGAGAATTCTTTCTCTAGAGCTCTCTAAAGAAGCCTACCCGAGGTTCCTGGGAGAGCAACTTAAACTCTTTTGAAGCGAGACCCGTGATGATCACTTAATGTTAACAGAATCACTTAATGTTTACAGTGTATCCACTCTCCATGGCCCCTCTGTGCCCTACCCCAAGGACCAGCCCCAGCCACCTCCTTCTCCTCCTCCTCCTCTCCACAGGCTTTTCGTCCTCTCCATGAATCATTCCCCTCTTCCTTCTACCTGTCCTCACACATTTTCTTTTCCAGCCACTGGAAGTCGGCTAGACAAAAAGACGTGTCACCGGAGGCCGTCTCTCTCGGAATAGAGGGTGGCTGGAAGCAGCAACTCATGTTTCTCTGGAAGGAGCACCACAGTTTCCCTGTTCATCTTAAATGCTACCAGTGTGCTTGGAGGATCTTTGCTGCGAGCTGGTGCAGACAGAGGAGCAGGGGTCAGAACGCACACCGCACCGCTGGGCCACCCTTCTAGTCTGAACTTGACACAAAAGGGAAAATAACACATGATCTCCCCGGTTCCTCAAATATTTCAACCAAATTTTGGATGTTAATTTTCCCCCTACCTTCCCAAGTCCCCAGATGGACGGGGAAATGCAATGCAAACAGGTCTTGCAGTTGGAGGGTTTTTTTGTTTGCTTGTTTGGGATTTTTTTTTTTTTTAACCTTTACACACACAACTGCTCCCCCTCCTCCCAGCTAATACCTACACCCCCTCTGGCAATTCAAACAAAAGCACAACTTTAAACTTTAGCCTTGTTTTAAAATGTGGCTTTCAGCTAATAGATAATCAAGAAGAAAGATCAGGATCTGGGAAAGTTAATAGCATACCACGAGATGCTCCTGAACCACACCAGCAAAAGAAATCTTTTCTTAAGAGCAGTCCTACGCAAAGAATTCTTATCACAGATAAGGGTGCAGTCTAGTGGCAAACTTCATGAAATGCAGCCCCTTTTCCAAAGGAAAGTGAGAGCACTTGGAAAGGGCGGAAGGAAATGTAAAAGGGATGAGTCCAACCCAGGACCGTCCTCTCAGATGGGGCAGCAATGACCGGCTGTGCGTTTCTCTCTGATCTGGTTGCGAAGTCTGCAGCCCAGCCGTGTCAATTTCAGAAGCAAAGTTGAAATCGCCACCTTCCTTCTTGGAAGAACTTAGCTTTCTTTCATTTTACTAAGGAAGGAAGGGATCCAGTAGTGTCTGAATAGATTGCCTGAGGTTGCAGATAGAATAGTAATATTCCTGGTCAGGATCTCTTCAGAGCAGGTCCTACGGCTGTCAGCTCACAGTCCTGAGATGTGCCTGTGCATGGCAGTTAACCTTATAACAAGGTGTTCCTCTGGTCTGTCCGTCACCCATCCCCTCCAGAGATGTGGCCCTATCCCATAAAAATGCCCCCTGTGAAAGAACGTGGAGGGAAAGTATCACTCCAATCTGCCTTCTTCCATCTGAAAACTCCACACCAGGACACATTAGATCACCAGCAAGATTTTCAGACTTAGCATCTTCTGGAAAGTGCCAGTCTCTGTAACTCACTGCTCCCCACAATGCCGTTGTATGAATGTCCCTTCCTGCACGTACACACAGCACAGATACCCACAAGCATGTGTGCACGTGCACGCACACACACACACACACACACACACACACACACACACACACAGCTTCCCTGGGCCAACAATGGAGCTGAAGGAAAGTGGCCACCTCTTGATCATATGACCAAAGACAGTCAGTCCACCAGCAAGAGAAATGCTCTTAATTAAATCCCCTTGCCCAGACTTTTAAGGGGGGAAATCCAGTTTTTCTTTTCTTTTTCTTTCTTTTTCATTCAGCTCACTACCCTCTCAGCTGGCCATCCTACACTAACACTCCCCCATCAAACACACACTCAAACACACACACACACACACACACACACACACACACAGTAACTTAAACACTAGCAGACAGCCATTTCCCAAAGCTTGGGAAGAATTTCTTGGGCACTGTATATATCCACTTGGCTAATAAGAAAATGCTTCTCCAGGCAGCCCGAGCCTTGGCTAGTTGAGGGGTGGGAGGGAGGGGGAGACCGGGTTACTCTTCATTGTGTCCACCACCTCCTTGAATTCTCTCTTCCACTCGCCCCCCCCCCACCTCCTCCCCCTGTAGGCAGCCCAGCCCTGTCCCCCATGCCCCTTTCTTACATTCCGGGGGGAGGAGGGCACTGTTCCGGGAGCTCAGGGGAGCCCCCGTGTGTCTAGAAGGCCTCTCCCCACCCCCACCCCGTGTGAGTTTGTACTGCAAAGCTCCTTGGCACCCTCGCCTGGGTTGGGTGTTGGGGAGCTCAAATAGCAGCTACAAACTGGCTGGCAGCCAGGGGCCGTCTATTTAAAAGCGCCTGCTCCACCGGAGCCCGTAGTCTCTTTGGAAACTTCTGCCGGGGGAAAGAGCTAGGAAAGAGCTGCAAATCGGTGTAGGGTTTTTTTCTCCTTTTTTGCTCCTTTTAATTCCCCCCTCCTCCGTTTGCACCCTTCTCCGAGCTTCACGCGGAACCTGCGAATTTCGAAGAGGTGGTGGCAGAGTGGGAGCAAAGAAGTGTTAGGGTTTTGGATTGGGGGCTTTTTTTCTTTTAATTTCTTGATTTCAACATTTTCCCCCCACCCTCGCGGCCACAGCCGCCGCCTCTTACCTGTTCCGCGGCAGCCGCGCGCCGCAGGCAGCTGAAGGGTAGAGAGGAGCAGGGTGTACTTCAGATTTTAAACAAAATTTTTGAAGGCAGACCCATTTTTCTCCCCCACCCCCACCCCCTTCTCCTCCACAGCCTCCGAGCGCATTATTCCGGTGGTCGTTTTGGGGTGGACAAGTTTTGGCTTTTTCCTCCCTGTAATTCTGACCGGGTCCCGCCGAGCGCGGGGGGGTGTTGTTTCTCCGGCCTCCACTCCCTCCGCGTGCACCTGGCGCAGCTCTTCTCCCCCCAACCTGTTGCAAGTCCTTTAATCCTTGCATTTGGGACTTGATCGTGGGCGCCTCAGCCCTCCATCTCTCCCTACATTTTGCAATTGTCTGGGGGAGGGCACCTGCTCTACCTGCCAGAAAAAAAAAAATTTTTTTTTTTTTTAATTTCTCCGGGCGCCCCCCTGGCCCCTTTCTCCCTACACTATCGCTCTCGTGCCCCGCCCCAAGGTAAAGGGGAAGACACGGAGAAGATGGTGCTCACCGCGGTCCTCCTGCTGCTGGCCTCCTGTGCGGGGCTGGCCCAGGGCCTGGGCTCCTTCGTGCACTGCGAGCCCTGCGACGAGAAAGCCCTCTCCATGTGCCCCCCCAGCCCCCTGGGCTGCGAGCTGGTCAAAGAGCCGGGCTGCGGTTGCTGCACTACTTGCGCCCTGGCCGAGGGGCAGTCGTGCGGCGTCTACACTGAGCGCTGCGCCCAGGGGCTGCGCTGCCTCCCCCGGCAGGACGAGGAGAAGCCGCTGCACGCCCTGCTGCACGGTCGCGGGGTTTGCCTCAACGAAAAGAGCTACCGCGAGCAAGCCAAGATCGGTGAGCGCGCTCGGTGTGCCAGTCAGTTACACGGCGCACGGCCGGGGGACACGGGACAAGCTGGCCCCGCGCGCTTGGCCCAGCAAGTGGCTTAGAGCCGGGGTGTAGCCGGGGAGGAGGGTGGGGAGGGTCCGGGCACCTCGGAATTGGAGCCTGGCCGATCCAGCTACCCCGGGCTGCTTTCTAGCCGAGCTTCTCTCGCGGTTTTCGCTCCTTCTCCTCGCCCCTACCCCCACCCTTCTCACCCTCCCCCTTCTTCCCGAATACTGACTCTGAGCTGCTGTTCAGTCTCCCGGTCCAAACCGCCGGGTACTCAGTCTCCAATCTGAGAGGGTGCATGTTACATTATCGATTCCCTCCTCCATCCCCCACCCCCACCCAATACGGTTTTTTTCTGGACTTGATAAAGAAAATCTCTTTTGTTAAAATATTGCTTTGACTGGGGACCTGGAGAGAGAGGCGTTACGGGTCTGCTGTGGAAATTCCACCTTTGTGCCTCCCAGTCCCTGCCCTCCCCCCCCCCTCCCCAGTCCGTCCTGACATTTCTATCCTCTACGCCTGCACACACTCGCGCGCACACACAACGCTCGCACGCTTGGAAGCTAACGCCTTTAGGGTGGGGGCTTTGATGCCCCTCCCACGTGCACACCATTGCTCTTGACTTGGTTTGACTGTCTGTGGTAGATGGTGAAACATAGTACAATGCAAAATACCTTCTTTCCTCCTGGGAAAGGAAAAATTACAATAGCTCGTTCCGCGGCGGTGGGGAGGGGGGGGCGGCGGGGGGCGGGGAGGAACGGGTAAGGTTTAGGTTCCTGTGCTGAGTATTCGTCCCCGAATCTAATTCCTTTTTCCCCGCCCAAATTCCGATTTCACCTAGGAAGAACGGTGGGTAGAGGGACAAGAAGGGATGGAAAACTCAGACATCACAACTTGCCCGCCAGTGCTAATCTCCCCACCACCACCACCACCTCAATCTTTCAAATCGGATCTCAAGTGGGTGTGGTGTAAATGCAAGAGGGGCCCTGGAAACGCAGAATGCAAAACCAAGTGGGCGGAGACTGGAAAGCCGCGCTCAGGGAGCCTCCCCTCCGCCTCCAGTAGCCCCGCCCCCTGGTTGCCCCGCCCCCAAATTCTCTGTGTCTGGCGTCTAGGGTTTAAAAGGTTGACAGAGCTACTTGTTCAATCAGTTAAGTCAGAACAGTTCTGCCTCCTTACCCCCAGCCCCCACCACCAGACGGGGTTTCCGTTTGGACTTAGAACTGATTTTACTTTTTTTTTTAAACTCCAGTGAATTGGACACAAAAATCTGGGTTCTGAAACATCAACCTGGTTATTCTCTCCAAAAGGGGTTAAGACTTGGCTAAATAATTTTTTTTCTGTGTAGTTTCTTACTGAGACCATGCCCTTCCCTCCTATCTCGTCCATTAGGGCACCCAACGTGAGTTTTCCTAACTGCAAACTACAGACATTATCATACAGGAAAGGAGTCCGCTCCTGAGAAGCGGCAGGAGAACTTTCCTGGGTTCTTCCTGGATCCCTGCAAAGTTTGCAGGTTTCGCCTGTCGCCCGCGGCTGCCCCTCCACTTTGCGAGAGGCTGTCGTTCTCCGGATTGCAGCCTGCAAAAAGGAACAGAGGGCAACACGCAGGCCCCGGAGGCCCTAGAGGCCCGTTTGTGAAGTTATTTTTATTAGGAGCCACTTTCCAAGGCGGTCCTGGCCGCCTTCATCTTGGGGGATGTGGATTTGGAAAATCTTAGCACGGGGGAAGAAAAGGTATGAATCGATTTCCTGGCTTGGAAGCCAGCGCTCTGGGTAAAAATCCGGTCACATCGAAAGTATGCAAGGTATCACTCAGCCGCATTCTGGGCCCGCTTTTATTTGCCCAACCGTGTGGTTGGTGTGATGCGGTTGGTGTGAAAGTTGTGCGCGCAGGGCGCGCGCACACGCGCGCGCAATTGCTGGAAGAGCAAATTGGCTCATCAGCCAACTTTCCAGTTCAACGTAATACGCAAGCGCGTGCGCGCGGGCGCGCGCGCGCGCACACACACACACACACACACACACACACACACACACTGGCTTTTGTCCCAAGCAAGATACCCTTTAGAATTCTCTGCAGCCCATTCCTCAACCCCCACCCAAAAGGTGCCTCTCGGCGAACACGTAGCACCCTCCACGCCCCACCCTAGACTTTGCGACTCCACCCCGCCTTCGGCAGGTGCCTGACCCACCTCAATTTCGGAATGGCTACAGGAACTGACCCCCTTCTTTCCGGACGATAGTACGCTAGTGGGCGCTCCTGGCTAGCGCCTTTCAACTCGAAAACCGCTGAGTGGGTCCCCAAAAAGTTGGAGACAGGGCAGAGACGGTTCATAAAAAGAGGGAAAAGAACAGAGAGCGGGAGGAGAGTGTCGGCTCCTTTGGCCAAAAATCTTGTTCCCCAACACCCCACCGCCATGTCCCCCTCCCAAAATCAGCAGTGAGAACTTGGATTTGCCTCTCCCTCCTGCGGTTGCCATACAGATATAGATTATGCACACACACACACACACACACACACCCATAAATCAAAAGATACATGCGCATGTAAAGAAAGATACAGATACAGATACATATATATATATATATTTTTTTTTTTTTTTCACCAAAAGAAAAAGTGCATCTCTAGAATCCGAAATGGAGAGCTGAGGAGAGCGAGGTGGCAGGCAGCCAAAGCTGCTGGGAGGAAGAGCCGAGGGCGGGCGGGCGGAGACTGGTGTTTTGCTGGGCGCGTTGCTGAGCAACCGGAGAGCCGAGTCCGCCCGCGAACTGGGTGCTGGGAGCGCGCCGGGCCCTACATTTTATTTTGGCCAGTTCTGGGGCAAAGATAGATACAGAAACAGAGGGCAGTGTGTGTGAAGGCTGGAGGGAGGCGGGAGACAGGAGCTATTTATTGAGCCAGGCTCAATAAATATCGGTGAGCTGGGTCGAGTCAAGGAAGCACCGGGCTTTTGCTTGGGCATTGTTTGGAGAAGGAGCCCTGTGGCTTTCTGGGAGGGAGGGCAGGCCACATATTTGCCCGGGTCTGGGAGATCTTTCTTGAGCCTGTGGGACATTAAGCTTGGGATACAGGGAGAAATGGGTTTTGAGTTTCAGTTCTGTCATTGAGAAATAAGAGAGGACAGAAAGTATGCTCTGGGAAAGAAAAAATAAAATTACCTAAATAAAAATAAATTCGACCTTTGCTGCTTTGAGGGGTTTGGCCTCCATCACCCTGGCTTCCACTCCAAACCTGGTCCGAATGCCATGTTGAAATCAAGTTCCAGAGTTAGGTTTATTGGCCAAATTTGTGTCTGGGTTGAACAAGATCATGGAAAACTGAAGGAGCCAGATTCCTTTCCCACCCGCATCCCCTCCCTTTGAAACAAGTCTTTGAGAGGCTGGCTGTGCCCTGAGCCAACCAAAATGGGAGTCAGGAAGACAGGAGATGGTGCTTTTAACTGGACTTTTCTTACCTCCCGCCCCTTCTTTCTGCTGTGTCAGCTCACGCTGGAAGAGTATGGACAGTTGGCCACAGTGAGAGCTCATTTTCTTTCCATATTTTTTTTTCTCTCTTCTTACCCCTCCTTCCCACTCCTCCCCCACCCCCAGCCCCTAGTTCCCAGCAATCCCTGAGGGCTTCCCCGAGGGTTCCAGTTTTTTTTTTAATTTTTTTTTTTTAACATTTATTTTTGAGACAGAGAGAGACAGAGCATGAATGGGGGAGGGTCAGAGAGAGGGGGACACAGAATCTGAAACAGGCTCCAGGCTCCGAGCTGTCAGCACAGAGCCCGACGCGGGGCTCGAACCCACGGACCACGAGATCATGAGCTGAGCCGAAGTCAGCCGCTTAACCTACTGAGCCACCCAGGCGCCTCTGAGGGCTCCAGTTTTAAGTCCACGCAGCTGCCAGTTAGCCTGGGGCTTGGGTGGTTGGTTTTGAGCAGCAAGTGGGCTTAAAGCTGCAGAGGGAGGACCAGGCGGACCTAGGAGGCAGAGGTCACCTCGAGGGTTCCAGCAAAGGGTATGAGAGCAGGATTCCCAACAGAAGTCCGGGTCCCCTTAATGGGGGATGGGGGGAAGGGAGATAGGGGGAGGTGGCTAGCGGGGTAAAGAAGGTGATTTTTGTCTAAAGTTTTTGCTTTGTACCTGAGCAATGCCTTTGCAACCTTGGGCTATTTAATGTGTAAGAACGTAGAACTTGAGAAAAGGGATCTGCACACTCCGAGCCCACTGCATCCAGAAACTGGAAGAATGCCATAAACAGAGCAGGTACCAGTGAGGGACCAACACGGGGTACAAGTGAAGAGGGCGGGAGAATGGACTCGGTGAGAGACAGGAGGCAGTTCAGAGGGGTTTTGTTAGGGTTTTTGTTTTGCGTTTTGCAGTTGGTCTAAAAGTTGCAGTCCCCAGAGACCATCCTTAAATTGCCATCTGAATATGTTTTCCAAAACAATAAGATTTGTTACCTATTTGCAAAAACAAATAAGCAAATCTACAAGGAGGCCAGTTCTAAGCTTCTCTTCCCCACTGCCCCACATACAGAGGTTCCTCCACTTTTGTTTCCTGTTCCATTTCTTTCCATGATTTCTGTTATGATGGCCTTTTTTTTTTTTTCTTTTCTTTTTTGTTTAATATAAATCCAGAGAGACAAAGTGGCTCTTCCTGTCTGGCCACTCGGCTTAGCTAGGTCCTAGTGTGCCCCCAGGAATTGTCTGGGTATTGGCCAAAAAGTGCTGATGCTGGAAGGAACCCACAGATCACAGCAATCAAAGCAATGGTTTTACAGATGAGACGCTGAGGCTGAAGGTGTTGAGTCACTTGCCCAAAATTAGGCGCGGAGTTGGCAGCAGAGTCGGGTGGATAGAACTCAGTCTTACAGTCCTGTTGATTCTATACTCCATTCTGCCATTCCGGGCTCTTCACTAGTCCCTGGGGCCTGGCCCAACCTGCAGCGAGGCTGTGGCAAGTACAGCCCA